TCTCTCTCTCTCTCTCTCTCTCTCTCTCTCTCTCTCTCTCTCTCTCTCTCTCTCTCTCTCTCTCCCTCCCCCCCTCTCCCCCCCTCTCTCTCTCTCTCTCTCTCTCTCTCTCTCATCTGAGGGCTCTGGTGCAGTGTTGCAGTACAGTCACTAAAAAGTAACAGACATATTAAAAAGAACACTAATAAAATATTTTTGGCCAAACTTTGTAAATCTAGGCCAAATAATCTGTTCTGAGTTGTATTATCTTTCATCCTAACTGACCTTTGATGAACAAGTATTAAGCATCTTGTGTGTGCAGAGTACTCTGCCAAGATAGGGTCAAAATTTTAGCTAAGAATCTGGGCTTGTCTTCATGGAGCTTACAGTCCAGAGTATATGACAGTCACTCAAATAACTCTGAAGGTGATAATGGTGAAAGTTGGCATTTCTATATCACTTCAGGGCTTGCAAAGAGGTAATGGTGCATAGTGGAGAAAGAGCAGGCCTCACAACCAGGAGAACATGAGTTCAAACCCTGTCCCTGATGCAGACTGGCTATGTGACCCTGGGTAAGTCCCTTCACCTCTCAATGTCCCGAGCCAGTTTCTAAGATTATAAGGTGAAGAGAAGGTGCCTACATACACTGGTAGAGGGAGTTCCTCATGCAATTAAATAAGTCCAATACCAAGCCTAAGGTATTACACACCACATTTCATTCAATTCTCATAGCAACTTTGTGAAGAAAGGGCCATCCACATTGTACCAATGAGGAAAATGGGGCTCAAAAAAGGTCAGTTGCCCAGGGTCACTAAGCAAGTGTCAGAAGCACTGTTTGAACCAAGTCTCACCTGGCTTCAAGGCCAAAGACCTTTCTCCTATAGTGGACACAATAATATGGGGCAGCTAGGTAGTACAGTAGATAGAGTGTAAGGCTTGGAGTCAGGAAGACCTATCTTTCTGAATTCAAATCTAGCCTCAGACACCTGTGTGACCCTGGGCAAGTCAATTAACTCTGTTTCAGTTTCCTCATCTGTACAATGAGCTGGAGAAGAAAATGACAAACCATTCCAGTATCTTTGCCAAGAAAACCCCAAAAAAGGGTCACAAAGAATCAAACATGACTGAAAAATGACTGAACAATAAAAAATACACAATAATCCATGTTCAGTCTATCAGAGAGGGTCAGGCAAGGTGTGGTGTGAGGTCCAAAGGAAGAAAAGTAATGTACAGAAAGAGAGGAGGGGGTTCTAGGATGCCTCCCTGAAGGTGGAACACGCTGGATTTCAAGTTTAGTCAAGCAGCCTCTGTAACAGTTCTCCTTGCCCCAGCCTCTCTGGGACAAGGGGAGGACCTATGATTTAATGGCATAGGGGACCCCCACATGAGGAAATTCCCTCTACCAATATAAGAAGGAACTGTTTCTGAAAGTTACAGTCTCACAGCTGTCTGAGGTCCTGAGAAGTTACATGACTTGCTCAGGGTCTCACATCCTATACATATGTCAGTAGCAGGACTTGAAACCAGGTTTTCCTGGCTTGGAGGCCAGCTCCCTCTACATCATGGCAGACTGTATCTCTAAAGATAAGTAATAATGATATGCAAACAAACAGCAAACAGTACTTCAATGAGCCAAGGGAGTACATTGGCCAGAGAATAATGGGCCCTTAATGTCTCAATTTGGTCATGCCAGGTTTCTAAAAGGACCAAAGAGATCATTTTCTCCCTTTTCAAAGCGAGTGAGGTTAAGTAGGTCACAAGCAAAGTTGGTCCTTTGGAAGTCATTTCCAAACGAAATTCTATCTGAAAAGCTTAGTGCTGAGTGGAGGCCCACGGTGATGTGCTGTGGCTTGTGGAAAATGCTTCCTGTACTGTGGGCTTGGGTGGCCAGCGCCTTAGAGCATGTGCCTAGAGGCTACTCTGAAGTCACTGGCTGAGCAAACGGGGTCTGCTGGCAGGCTCCGTGGAAGGACTCCAGAGGAAGAGAGCAAAGCGCACCGCAGGCTTCCTCCCTTTCGGCCAATGACTCCTGCTGGTCAAACTGCCCTGGTCCATTGTGATCGAGCACGAACTCTATGTAAAACTACACTAAAGCCAGTTGCAAGAGAGCCCGAATCCCTGAATCCTGGACTGTGAGAGGTGGAAGAGACCTTGGAGAGGGTCTAATCCAATCCCTTCATGTGGCAGGTAAGAAAACCAAAACCCAGAGAGGAGAGGGAGCAGCCAGAGGTCACCCAGCACATCAGCAGCATATCCGGAACAATTAGTCATTTTTGAAGGTTTCCAGGCTAGAGTTCTTTCTACCACTATGAATTACCTGTTAGCTGCAGAAAGGATAGAACTGGGAGCCAGGGAACTGGGTCTGACGTCCAGCTCTGCTATTCACTTGACGTGTGGCCGTGGGAAAGTCACACCAGCTCTCTGCGCTTCAGGTTGCTCAGCCGTAAAGTGGGGACGATTGTATCTGTTCTCCTGAGCTCATGGGGTTGCTATGAACAAAGGGCCACATAGAATGTCAGCTGTGGCCTCTGAAATCATAGGTTATGAGCCAGAAGGAGCCTTAGAAGCCATATGGAACATCCCATACATTGTACAGATGAGGAAACTGAGGCCCATAAAAGAATATGACCTGACCAAAGTCCCACAGGGAATAAGTTGACAAAGACAACATTTGAGTCCAGATTCTCTAATTCCCAAGCCGTTGCTTGGGAAGATGTTTGCCTGTAGAACGGGGGTTTTTTAATTGACCCCAAGAGGTCCGTGAAGAGATTTCAAGAAGTACATGAACTTAGATGTGAATAAATTATTTCTTTTCACTAGCCTCTAAATGAAATCTGGCATTTCCCTCAATTATTTAAAAACATTATTCTGAAAAGAGGTCCATAACTTCACTAGACTGCCTCTGGGGTCCAAGGCACAAAAAAGAGATTCAGAACCCTTGTTGTAGAATACAGGTTCCATAAGAAGCAAGGACTGTCTCATTTTGTCCTTGATTGACAGCAGATAGGCCTTTCCTAAGTCCCTGAGATCTGCTCTATGGCCAGTCACCTACTCCACCTCCATGTAAGGCTGGTTCCAGGGAAAGATGTCAGCTGAAATAGGGCATTAGGGGCGGGAAGGCAAGTCGAAGGCTTTCTGGGCTTTGAGTTGGTCCCATAGGCTATAATACATTCCACCCCTCCTCCCAACAGCATTGAAGACTTCTAGTTTTTCCAGACAGTTTTTCTGGGGCCATGAGGGGCCCCAGAATTCTCACACCTGACCTCAGGAGGTGGGAAGCCTGGAATCTGCAGCAAAAGGCCTCAGACCACTCACTTGTTCTGTTGGTCTTAGAAACCTGAGCTTTCTCCTTCTAGGATTGGCTCAGGCGTTCCCCTTCCTCACCCACCACAAGCCTTTCCTCACCCTTTCTTATTCTTTTCATTTTCCCCTTCCTCAAATTATGTAGCAAGAATGTCTCCCTGTTATGTCCCTCAAAAAGATGCAAGCTTTTTGAAAGTCAGACCTGCTTTTCAGGTGCCATTTACCTTGTACGCAGGAAACAATAAATAAATGTCTATTGAACCTGGTCCAGTCTAATCCCTTCTCCTCTTACTTCTTCAGACCCAGCAGACCTCTGGAACTGGGATGCTGCCATTCATTTCTATGCTACATCACCGCACCAAGCATCCCTCCCTCCATCCTTTCCTCATTTCATCCCTTGTGACTTCATCTACACCACCCAACTCAGGTCCATGCCCTGGTTTAATTCTGAACAAAGAAAGGCCCTGTGGAAAAGTAAATCCAGAAGAACTGGCAGGAAAGAGAGAAAAGAAAATCCCTCCCGCTGTGAATCAGTAGGCTTGGTTGTGCCAAGCCGTTCACATGCTAGGTTTGGGTGACTTGGCTAAAACATTAAAACTGTTCCCTGTGAAGGTCGGGGGGATTTAGACCTTGACCCTGGTTTCATTAACACCGTGCCCTGCAGGTTCCCCATGCGTTGCCATTAAATGTCAAGGCACCATGATGCGCAGAATGGAACGGAACCAGAAATGCCACTTGCGGTCCAGCCCTACCATGGATGGAGAAAGGAACACACTGCCCAACTAACGGTGTTCACGTTTCATCGTTTTATTCTTGGTTTTATACAGCTATATTTTACAATGCAGTGATGCGGTTTAGACACAGCCCAACCCTGTCTCCGGAGGACCTATATAATGCAAGCGTGACGCAGCATGTAATAAGACAAACATTCCCAAAGAGAGCTTAGTGAGTGCCAGCTTCAAGTCCCTGTGTCTGCCTGCGCCTCGAAAAGGAAGGGGGCTCATCTAGTCCATACATTGAAAACTTCCATGGAAAAAAGGCACCGTGAGTACACGTTGTACGGATATATACAAACTCAAAACTAGAACAAAATTACGCATTTTTTTTCCTTCTGCAGCTTTTTCGTGTTTTGTTTTAATACACACTTTTGTAAATTGTAAACCTTCACTTGCAAAAAAATACAAATACACTGAGGCGTTTTAGACAAAATATCTTCTTACTTACACAGATGCAATACTTAAAATATTTTGTAAGGGCTCTATCTCAATAAAGATTCTCAGATCCGTGTCTGCCCGCAGATACAAAATCGAGCCTTTAATGCAGTTTTATTTTTAATATATCTTTTTTGAGGTTTATATATATTTATTATATATATTTATATATATTTACAACTCTGCCATATATTCCTTCACCTTTGGTTAAAAAAATTAAAGCCCTCTCTTTTATAACATACTGAATTCTCTTCTTTTAAAAGAATGCACATTTACATACAAAAGAAACATCTGTTCCCACAAAACATATACATTCCTCATTTTTCAGAACGAGTCAAGTCAGATTCCAAAGCTTCTGTGCACTCCCCCATGGGGTGATGGGCAAAATGACCTTTCTTTTCATTTTTGACTGATACAGTTTCCCTAACACATAGGAGATTCAGCTTGTTGGTTGGTTTGTGTTTACGTTATGTCACTGGGTCAGTGGGAGGCTTTACATGTTTCTTCCCCCTGTGTCTTTCCCCGTCCCGCCCCGCCCCCCAACTCCAACCCCCTTTATGATCTGCACAAATGGATGAGAAGAGGCACTACATCATGGGATGAACATCTGTAAAGTGTTACAGTATCCTTTGGATAACTTCCAGAGAGGGGGCCCCTTTGCAACGCTCTCAGCAAGCCTTGGGTAGTTCCGGCGGCAGGTCGCCAGCAGAGACGCGGTACTGAACCTTGGTGTTGGTGATGGCACCGTGCTTCTGCCGCAGGTGAAGCCGCAGCTGGCTTTTGTGGCGGAAATGCAGGTTACACTTCTCACACTGGAGGGGAAAGCAGAAACAGTGGAGTCAAAAGACCCGGGTTAAGTCTTTCACCTCTCAGGGCCAGTTTCCTCATCTGAAAAATGAGGAAGCTGCGTTCAATGACTTCCACGGTCCCTGCCAGCTCTAAATCTGTGATCCTTTGAACGCTCACATCAGCCTCTCCAAAGGTCAACTCTTGCGGACGCTTTCATTTTCTTTCTTACCCGTACCTTGGGAGATATTTCCCACGGACTCCTCCCTGACAATCCCTTCCAGTAGGCTTAAAGAAAGATAGGGCCGTCCTGAAGATGAGCCTGAGTCCGATTTTCCGCTAAGATTTGACCAGGGAAGAGGCACCAGGCAGGTGCCTCAATATAGGGTCACTCCCTGAGGGGTTCATGACCTAACAATTCTGTAACCCTGATATCAGCTGAGGGGGAAGCCTTTCAAACGTATTTCTTAAAGGAAAAAGAAGACAAAGAAGTCCTTTATTTTAAGTTCTAGCCTGGGTTAAGATGGGGAAGAGGAGCTGTCAAACTAAAGAGATCTGTATTCTAATGGTCCCTCTTCCTACAATCCTGTCCTACCACTCGCTGTTTGATCTAAGGTAGGATACAAACTGTCTGGTCTAACTTGCTTGCCTACAATACTTACTCATTTAGTTTGGAATTGGGTCCTCTGCATGATGGGAATAACACATTAGCTTTCTTAAGGCAACACACTGGGGGATCAGTTAGTTAATTCAGCACCTGCTCTATGCCACACACTATGTTGTTTATCCTTTTCATTTCAAGAGCTGAGTCTATGAGTGGACTGCTGGACAGGTGGGCAGCTGGTGCTTCCCAACTTAATGTCACCAGCTTGAATGCTTGATAAACCATGATTCCTTATGGCAAGTCACAATACTAAGCCATGAGCAAAAAATCCATTTGAGAACCAATGATTTAGCTCTCCATATATGGATGTTTAGTAAATTTTTATTGAACAAATAAAAAAAACTTTAATTTAGTGCTTTCATTTTGTAGTATCAATATGGATACCCACTGATGGGGGGGGGTGGCTGAAAAAATCATGGCACACGGATGTAATGAAATCATATTGTGCCATGAGGAATTATTAATATAAAGGGCTTAGAGAAACAGGGGAAAATTTATATAACTGATGTAGACCCAAGTAAGCAGAAACAGAACAATTTATACAATGACCACAATAACCAAAGAAAGATGAAGACATCACTTCTCAGATTAATGCGTTGACCAGTCTTGACTCTAAAGGTCTGGTCATGACAATGTCCATTAAGTGCTTAATGAATGCATGTTGACTGTCTAACTCAGTAAGAAGGTGGTAAACAGGTATAGAATAAGGCCCACATTACCATATGTGCTCAAAGGTGTTAGGTTTATTTCCCTTTTTACCTAATTGTAATTTATTGTACATGGATGCTATATCGGCTAGTGGGGGGCCATGGTATAGGGAAATGCACGATGAAATTTAAAAAAAAACCATTAGTAAAACATTTTTCAGGGTTGGAGAAATGAGTGAATTCATTCACTGATTATCAAAGCCCATCCCTTTGCCTGTATATTTATGAATCTGTAGCAAGACCAAATTCTGATAGACTGTAAGTTGCTTGAGGTCAGGGGCTGTGTCACTTTAGTCTTTGTATCTCTAAAGCCTGGCAGAGTGCCTTGCACATAGTAGGTATTTAATAAATGCTTGTTACTTGATTGACTCCTAACCACTGTATCTTCTTACTTTCGTCAGCATCAGTCTCTAAGGGGGATGGAAATTTATACTTGTTATGTTCTCCTCAAAATTCTGGAGAGCCCTCAAACTTCTGGCAGAAGACCACTTCCACACTTGATTTCGTAACTGTGAGATCTCATTCCCTGCCAGACAAAGGTAGGCTGTGAACTCCCTATGGCTTGGCAAGTGGGCTGGTATAGCCACCTTGACAATGGCCATCTCTGCACCTAGCCAGATTGGCCCTCGATAGTAGTACGTCCCCCACTTCAAGGCTTTCCAGCTGGGGAGGGGCTGTAAGAGCTTCTGTTTGCCTGCCATGCCTTTGAGGCCCAGGATCTCCTCCGATGCCTGCTCCAGGAGGAGTTGGATGAAACCAAGTCAGGACACAGAAGGGGGCTCTAAGGCAGGCGATGTGGTCCTCCAGAGTGTGTGTGGACTGTGTCCATGGAAGGTCAACTTCCCTGTTCCCTTCCAAGTTAATTAATCAATAAGCATTTATTACTAAGTTAGGAGTTTTTAAACAGGAGTGCATAGATTTCACAGGGTCCACAAACTTGGATGGAAAAAATATCATCTATTTTCACCAACCTTTTGTTTTCTTTGTAATATTACCTATTCATTTTCTGCATTTAAAACTATTCTGAACTGGGCTCCATGGGTGTTACCAGTCTGCCCAAAGGGTCCATAACACAAGAAAGTGTAAGTACTCCTGTACTAAGTCCTATTCAAGGAGTCAAGGGCATGAAAACAAAAGGCAAAAGGTCCTGCCTTCAAGGAGGTTACATTCCAGTGAACGATTTGCTTGTCTCATCCTAAAACTGACTACTTGGATGGAAAGACCCTTCCACAGATTCCTACAAGCCTCCTTGGAGCTGGGCGAGCCCTTAGAGAGCACACATCATTGGAGTTCTTCCATTTTACAGACAAGGAACCTGAAACCCATCAAAACAAACCAAACCAAACAAAAACACCCTGCCCAAGATCTGCTGCCTCCGAATTCAAGGTTCTTTCCACAATATGCTTCAAGATGAGGCGAAACCCCTTGGTTGTTTCCCTCCCAAGCACTGGACAAACCCCATCCTCAGGAAAGCTTGTCAAACAGAAAGAAGAGGGCTCACATACATGGTAGGGTTTTTCTCCTGTGTGAATGCGCAAGTGGCTTTTGAGGGTCTGCAGGTGCCGGAAACGGGTGCCGCAGATCTCACACGGGTAGGGCTTCTCACCAGTGTGGATGAGCACATGAGCACGCAGGTGGGCCACCTGTCGGGGAAGAAGGAGGAATGTCAGCAATACGCCAACACAGGGGCCACAGCCCCGCTGCCCCAAACAGAAACACAGATACGGAGAGACAGACGGACAGACAGAGATCCGCAGACAGACAGGACCCTCCACTCACCTGGACGAATCTCGCTCCACAGGTCTCACACTTGTAGGGCTTCTCTCCAGAATGAATGCGAGTGTGGGTCTTTAGGTTGGCTGGCCGGTTGAACTGGGCTCCACAAATGTTGCACCGATAGGGTTTTTCCCCTGTTGCCAGAAAGAGAAAACGGAGGCCACATGGTAAGTGCGCAGTGCTAAGGCCCATCCAAACTACTGAAAGGCAGACACAACAGCAGACAGAATATTCCCTGGAGGTTAGGCTGATGAGGGTGAAATGGGAAGTCGGGATTTCTGACATCCCAAAGCAAAGGCGGTCAACCTGAGAAGCCATACCCGTGTGGACGGTCTTGTGGCTGGCGAGGTTGCCCTTGTAGCGAAAGGAGGCCTGGCAGCGGTCACATTTATAAGGCTTGTCGCTGTGAGTCTGCAGGGTGTGTCTTTTGAGGGACGCCTCCTCTGAGAAGCGGCAATCACACTCGTTACAGAAGAAAGCTCCATTTTCTGTTGAGGATGGGGAAAGGAGGGACCAGGGTCAGCGTGAGGAGGAAGGGCACAGGGGCCCCCAGAGGCCCAGCTGGCTCCCCCTCCCTGACACTAATCCTGAGCTGTGGTCTCCTGGCCCCCTCCACCCCACTCCAAGCACTCCTAGGGAATCCAGAGACTTGAACTGGGTTCGGAGGACGTGAAAGAATTGATGAGAGTGAAAGGAGACAGAAAGAAAGGAGAGAAGACAGGCAAAATCCACCCCCCTCCTTGACCCCCCCCAGCTGCAAAGCTCTGCCCCTTTCACGTGGAGCAAATAGCCAACGAAACGGCTTCCTTCCTTGTGCCACGTCAGTGGCTTGGTTTGTCTCGGTAAGTCATGTTTTAAAGGCACGTGCGCACACGCACACGCACACACACGGACATTTAACCTCTCCGTGCCTCATTGTCTTCGTCTGTTAAAGGGGGATAACCACATTTTACCTGACTACTTCAAGGATAGCTTGAGAAGATCAAATAGGGATTTTTCTTTCTTAATTAGAAATGGTGCAAAGAACATATTTCTGTCACCCAACACGGGTTGCCTCGTTGCAGCCAGAGGAGAGCGAATGGCTGAGCTACTGCCTGGAAAACTATGGGCTGTTCCCATGCTCTGGATTGGGCCCAGAGGCTCAGCCCTGAAACATTGCCTCAAGTCTGTACTATCTAGAGCAGCGACATGAGTGATGACCCTGAATGCTGCACACTGACTGTCTTGTGACGCGGCAGGCTTTACATGAAGGCCGAGGCGGGGCCACTGGGGGTGATTCAAATGACCCTCACGATCGCAGAGACCTGCTCTTGTCTGCAGAAAAGCCCGGGAAGCTCACATCAAGCAGCAGCCCCAAACTGGAGACAGAAGACAAATGCCCTTGAGGAGGAGGAGGAGGAGGAGGAGGAGGAGGAGGAGGAGGAGGAAGAAGGTGGCTTAGTGCTGCTGGGGACGGAAGCGGAGGAGAGTGTGGGGGAGGGTGCAGGACCTGGGAACTCACCACAGCTGGAGTCCGAGTACTCAGACTGGGTCTCTCCCATCTCCTCTGGGAAGGTAGTGCCCGTGGCATGAAGGCACATCTCCGAATGCTGTGGGGATTGGGAGCCACAGGAGCGGCATTTGGACGAGGGCAGATACAGCGGAGAATGTCCCTCTGTGCTGCTCCGTGGAGAGCCGGCCAGGGACCTGAGGGTCAGAGTGATGGGAGGCTCAATCGTGGCAAGCTGGGACTCCTCGGCCCTAGGCCTGAGAGCAGGGAAGCCCCCCAGCGCCCATCTCCTTTCCCTGAGGCTGGGGAGAGCGGCTCCTCTTGGCTGGACAGCTCCCACTCTCCTTCTCTTCCTTTCCTTTCCCTTCCCAGAATATCCCCAGCCCCTCCTTCGACACAAGGCCTTTCCTGACGGCATTGGTCAGCGTCACACATCCCCTCTTTCCTGGAGATACTTTACATCTACTTTGCATTTATTTATCTGGGCATAAGTATTCTCCAGGAGACTGACTGACCCTTGAGAGCAAATGGCTGTTCATTTTGTCCTTGAGCTTGTCCTTGGACCCCAGCACCTAGCCTAGTACCTGGCATAGAGTAGATGCTTAATGAATACTTGCTACATTTAGTCTAATCAGAGGTGGACAGTTCCTTCACTGCAAGTTGGCCACCCCCTAAGACTGGTTAATGTCCGTTGACTGGTAATATTTTGGTGTCCCAAGTTCCTCGCCCTGAAGAGAGCTCAGCTGCCCAGAGGACTGGCACGGACGCTAAAGTCTGCATTCTCCAGTACTGACCCCATGGGCATAGCCAATGAGCTCAAGACGCTGTACCCCCAGCCATCATGAGAGCCCATCCTTGCCTCCCAAAGAGCACCCTGTGAGCTCACCTGGTGACAATGTTGTTGAGCCTGCTGGCCTGCGATATGGCAGAGTCCTCCCCACTCACAGGCAGCTTGGTTGGAGAGCGGATGTTCAGATTTTCTGGTTCCAAGGGCTGCTGGCAGGTAGACGTGGGGACATAAGCTCGAGGTGAGAGGCGGCCCAGCTCAGCCTGCTCAGCCCCATCCGGCTTGGTGTTCTGGTTGAGGGAGTTGAGGACAATGAATTTGTACTTCTTCCAGTTGCAAGCCTTGGGGTCAGTAGGACTCTTGGCTGGGGGGGAGCCGGCACCTTGTAAGATGCAGGCATTCTTGCTGCTGCTGGACTCTGTGGGTGAGTTGGGCTGGCAGTCTGACTTCTGGGGACTCTGGGGGCTCACCAGGCCCTTGCGATTAAGTGGGGCATTAGGAGGTTCGAAGTGCAGGCTGATCTCATCCTCAGAGGAGGTCCTCTCCTCCTCCTTGCCAGGCTTGTCACAGGCAAAGTATGAGTTGTTCCGGGCAGACGGGGCAGCCGGTTTGGGGCCTGCCTCAGTCACACTGTAGTGTACCTCACTCCGCACCTCCTCCGGAGTAGCCTCTTTAGGAGAGTAGATGCTAGCATGGCACATGTTGGCAGAGACCTCCATGACAGCCCGGTTGTAATCCGTAGGGAGGGGCCGGGTGTTATCACAAGAGGGGACCCGCTCTTTGGGGTATGGGTTGGCCCTGGGTAGGTCAGCCATGGGCATCCTGACATCCCTCAGTTCCTCATCGAAGAAGCTGTTCACTGGGAGGTGGCCATACACGGGATAGGAAGCTGGTGACGCAGTCAAGCCATTGTAAAGGCCGGGAGCAAAGGCTCGTCCGTCACAGAGGGGCCCGTTCCGCAGGGGGCCGTTGCTATCGGCCGCTTCGCGGCTCCGATACGCCATGACTTCTTGGGGCAACAGCATCCGGCCAGCCAGATACTCATCCCGAGGAGGCTTGATGGCGGACACCATCTCTGCTTCACTGTTTAGAAGAAAGGAAGGGAGAGCATCCCGTCCCCCGGGAGAAAATGGTCACGTGGATTCTTTCCTTCAAAATCCCATTTTTATACTTAAACCAAGCAGATCGATCCTTGTTCTGGTGCTTCCACTAACTAGCCGTGACAACTTAGGCAGGTCATTGAAGTGGGCTTCATCTGCCCAGCTGCTCTCTGTGGTCCCTCCTAGCTCTAACCCCCCCCCCCCAGCTGGCTGTGGGACCGGCTGTGAGGAGGTACCAATTGCTGGCACATCACTTCTGTGCCATCTGAAGGGTTTCTAAGACTCCAGTGCGTGTGCTAGTCCTGTCTACCAAACCAGATGATACGGCCTGTTCCAAGCACATGTGGAAAGCGCCCTAATTCTGGCTCCTGTCCCTCCCCACCCAGCGTCTTGCACCCTGAGTATGAATGACTTGGTCTTGCCAGGGAATGGGACACCAGCTTCTTCCTCGAACCCAAAGCAGGTGCTTCCATATCAAGTCCTGGAGACTAGCCAGGAAGAGCCAACGCTAACCTTACCCTCTGTCCATCAATGCCTTCCCTCCACAAGCTCCCCAGGGCTCTTCACAAAGCCCCGGAGCCAAACAGTAGATCAAAAGGGATCCCAAAAGAAGGGACCCTTCTCTGAAGCAAACTGTGTGGGTTTCCAGCTGTGGAGTCCAAGGACTGTGCTGAGGTCCCAGGTCCTGCACCCTCCCCCACACTCTCCTCCACTCCCATCCCCAGCACAAGGGGGGACTCACCTGGCTTTGATGAACTTTCGGCACGTGTCCACAACGTGCTCCATCTGCAGATACATGGCGGTGGCCATCACTGCCATGATATTCCCCTCACGGAGATTCAGGCGGGATGTGTACATGAAGTCCAGAAGGATACAGAAGCCCTCCGGGTTGATTTCAGGGTCAAGGTTGATCACATTCAGGTTGCATTTCAGCTGGTCAGTAAAGATGCTATAGAACAGGCCGCTGCCAAAACAGAGACAGAAAGATGTGACGCTCTGCGCTCTGGGGTGGCAAGGTGGCATGCCACCATGATACTACTAGGTTATATGCTATGAACTTTGTGACATGGTACTATGCTAGATGATGTGAAACCATGTTCTATATAACAGTATGCCATATCATATAAAATATAATAGTATAATATATTACTATATTATGGAATATAATAGTATGTCATATTAGAGAATACATAGTATTTCAGTAAAATGTGAGGTCTACATGTGTACCTATTTGGCCAGTCAAGCTATACTCTGTAAGAGACACACACACACACACACACAGAGTGCCATAGTAGATAAAGGACCAGATTTGGAGTAAGAAAGCCTGAGTCCCACCTCTGCCAGACTACCTGCCTGACAGGGCCTCAGTTTCCTCATCTGTACGTGAGGAGGCTGGACTTAGGTGTCTCCTCCACCTCCAGGCACAAGCTGCACAATGAACAGAGAGCCTCTCCAAGCTTTGCTAGGCTGTCCCGTATACGGACGGTCTGTGTCGTTGCCTTGCCAGCCCTGGGACCCTGAAGAGCTTGGGCTCGGCTGGAATAGCTTCGGAAGACCCAGACGCTCTGCTGTGCCGTGGTGCCATGTCAGGGGCTGTTACTGGGGGCTCATCAGTTCACTCAGAGGCTCATGCCAGCCCGAGCATGCTCCTCCGGTCCGGTCCCCAGTCCCCTGTGAGAGCACTCCATCAGTCACGGGGCTTCTACCACTCCAAGGCCAGGCAGCCCAAGCGCTGATGCCCTGGCTCCATCACCCTCTCACCTGCACGCCATGAGAACGGTCTTGTGGGCCCGGAACTGTTCCCGGTTGACTACGATGACGACATCCGTCAGGATATCTCGGCTCCGCAGGCGATTCAGGTTGAGGAGGACGTCGCTAGCGTGGCGGGTGAACTGGATACAGCTGTCTGCCGGCGAGGCCATCTTGTTTCTACCTGAAAAAGAAGGGGACGGGTGACGATGACTGGTTCCCAGAAGCTTTCAGACGTCACTACCACAGCTGCCACAAGGGGGCACAGTTCACTAAAGAAACGGTCTGCATACTCAAGTGTTTGGAGTTGGGACCCAGGGTCATTCTGTCCCTCCCTTAGGCCCGAGGTTTCTCTATCATTCGTCTTCTGTCGCTTTTTCCGAGGTGTTCCTGAGTTAGGTTTAGTTATATGGAACTCTTAGGTGGAGCTGTGATTTCATAAATGTGGACACTGAATCCGGTAATGCAGATTGTGTGTCCCATGGGATTCTTGTCCATATCTTCCCAGAAATCCTCCACAATCTACCCAACATGCCCTGGTCCTTCCTCTATGCCTCTTGAGCTTATGTGCATACTAATGCCCAGATAGATGAAGAGGACAAGACTGTCCCAGACTAGTGAATATACATTTCACATGCAACTTCTAATTGATGGGATAACCCAAAGTTGAAAAAGGAGAGGAGATGGAGGGGCTCTTCTCACTTCATGAAGGGACTCACTTCTCACTCATCAGTACAACAAATATTTAACCAAAATCCCACTAGCCCACAGTAGGCTGATGTGAATCCACATGTTGACCAAGGCTATGGGAAACTTTCTGTCCATAAAGTATTAACAGCAAGAAATTCCATTTACATACCCAAAGCCTCAATTCACAGTTCAAGACTTCTTTTAAAACCTGTGGGAAAGAGAAAAGGGAAATTGATTCACACCTGCTAATCAGCCAGTATAGTCTTATGTAAGAAACGTCATTTTTGTTTTTAGGCTTAGACAGACAAGCAGATTCTAGCCAGGGGAACTTTCCACACTAAAACTAGGTATGTTCTCCAGCTATTTACTTTTTGAAACAATACCAGCAGACATGCCACGGTTCTTCTTTACCCTTTGAATGAGGGTCTCTCTCAACCTAAGAACTGGGCAGCATCCAGTAGTGACTTAACAAACAGGGATCAGAAAACAGGCAGTAAAGCTTGAAAGCACAATCACAATTCTAATACCACCTGATCCTTAGGACAACCAAGTGAGATAAAGCAGGGCAAGCATGATTATGTCCATTTTGCAGATGAGGCAATAGAGGGCCAGAAATGAGAAGTGACTGGAGCATAGTCAGACAGCTAGATGTGACTGGCACCAAAACTTGAATGTCTGGACTCATTTTCCAGCATTCTCTTTTCATCATGTGGACACTGCTAGGAGCCAAGGCATTAAAGGCTTAAAAAAAAAAAAAAAAAAGACTCCCCCACCCTCTCAAGTTTACAGGACAGTTACAGCTTCTCCAGTCCCATGATACAAACTACCTCTTCCCTTCCCACCCTGGCCTAAGAGTCTCATACAAAGCATTAGGCTGTGGTCTTGTAAATTGTTGCCACCTACTGGTTCAACTCTGGATTAGACTAGGGTGAAAAAGACCCCTCCTGCTTAGGGATTCTTTCTACTTTGCCTACTAGGTTCGTAATTGGTCCTTTTCAAAGGTGGCTTAAAAATCAGAGGTAGCGGGACACTGAGGGAAGGAAAGAAGTAACTAGTAAATGTATTTTTACTGTGCCTCAGCTGAGCACTAGAACCTTCTAGATTAATAAAGTCGGCTTATGGGTTGTATTCAACATGCCAATTTAATTAAATTCCTCTTGGAAATGTCACAGAACATTAGAACTGGAAAGGATTGTAGACACAAAGAGCCAGTACTAGAAGGGCCCTCAGAGGCCATCAGGTTCAACCCCATCATTTCATAGATGAGAAAACTGAGCCCTAAGGAAGTTAAATGACTTGCCCAAGGTCACATACATCCTCAAGTTATAGATAACAATGCTGACAGCCAAATATCTTTCCCTTTTTACCTATAGGAAGTTGGTGAGTGGCAGAATCAGGATTAGAAGGCTTTTTAAATCAGTGAGAGAAAACCCAAATGATATGGCATCTTCCCCAGTGACATGACTACCAAGGGAAAAGTGGAGAATCAGCTGTTTCCTTGAACCTTCAGACCCCAGTCTATCTCTCTGTATCTCCCACAGAAAGCTCTGTGCTCTTTTCAAGTTTTAAAGCATGGATGAAGGGGTTTGAGGCTAGAGAAAGGGAGGCCAGACAGGTGCTAAAGAAAAGTTAACACTTAGCTATATGTCCAGCACTCTGCCCACTGTCACAGTCTCCTCCCGGGGTGGCAACAGCTAGGTCTGCACTGAGGTACAGCAATTTCTCATAGAAATACACACTTCAAAGTAGTACTAAATCCAGGGCTCTGCTTACTCATTGGATATATTTATATGTCTTCTGTCCCAACTGTAGGAGATCCCAAAGCAGCAGGTTAGACTGTTTACATGAAATGGAAAATTCAGGCTTTTCTGGGTGAGGTCTCTTTTTTGTCCCCTCTCTCCCCTCCCCCTAAGAAGCAATTCATGGGTGGGGGTGGGGGTTCCAGACTGGAAAACATTCCCAAACCAAGGTTCTGCAATGACCACGCACATAATTGTTAGGGGCTGCCAGTCTTTAGAGGTCCAGGCAGTTCAGAATTGGTGGGCTTGGCTAGTGGCTGCCCACAACTCAGCTTTCCTGACTCAGAGCTTCCAAAGCAGGTCCAGCCAGGGGGGCTGACTGACGGAAAGGACTTCCCCAGCAATACTTCAAAGAGGGAGAAGGCCATAGACAAAGAGTCAAACTCATCCTTTCCATCCTCTCCCGGTCCCCGCACCCCACCCGCCCACAAACACCTCCTTCTTCCTCTCCAGCTTTTCCAGGTCACCAAAGCCAGGGTTTTCAGGGATTTCTTTCTTCACCTTCCTTTGGTACCCTGAACTTCAGCCCCAGAGGGCACCTCCACCTCCCACCCCCTTCTTTTTTTTGGAAGAGTAAGCTGCGCCCTGCAGCAGATAAATGTCCAAGTCCCAGAGCTCTGGACCCCCGAATTCCACGCACAATCCCCTTCTCTAGGCAAACGGAGGATGCCGACACTTCCCTAGCTCTCCCCTCCGTAGCCTCCCCACACCACAGTACCTGGCTGCCAGTGACCTCCCACCCCTGGGGTTCTGCCGGCTCGGTCCCGCAGCCGCCGCCTTGGCAGCTGCGGCAGATCCGCGGAAGGAGCTGGGCTAGTGTGACATAATTCGCTCAGGCTCAAATCAAACTTTCTGTGCATTTTTTTCCTCCCTATTTTACCGCGTCAAGCTGGGGAGTGGTGGGGGGCAGCGAGGGGAATGTCACAGCCGTCCCATTCCCGGAATGGAGTTGATTGAAACTAGGCGGATTTCAGGGAACCCTCCCCGCCTATCGCTAGCTCCAACCAGAAGTAACTTTCCAGGAAGTAGCCCGAGGTGAAGTCGTTAAGCAGGCTAAGCCGGCGGGCAGCGGGTAGCGGGCAGCGGGCAGCGGGAGCCCGGGAGCAGCGCGGCGTAACCGCTGCCCCCACCGCTCGCCTGGTGGCTCTCTCGTCTGTCTCTGTCCCTCTGTTTGTCTCTGTCTCTATCACTCTGTCTCTCTCTCTCACCCTCTGACTGTCTTTCTCCCAGTCTGTGTCTCT